ATCTGAACGAAAATTTCCCGCATAGAAAACTTCGCAAATTAGATAGTAACAAATCAGTTCCCGTATATAAACGTGTTCAAATTATTCGAAGTTTACGCTATATATTATGTCAGCCAATAATATCCAACTCAGCAATGAAACAAACCATCAACTGGTATCGCTATTAGGACTTCGACTTATTGTCGGTATACCTTCAGTTATTATTTTTATCGGTGGTTTGATTGGAAATATATCTACTGTATTTACTATCATTCGATACAGAAGAACGACAACCAAAGATCTCATGTTCTACTTAGTTGCTAATTTAGCAATGTATGATATTCTTGTCATGTTATTTGCTTTACCAATTACAGTTATCCGAAAATTAGCTTTCACATGGCCGTTTGGAGCTTTCCTGTGTTATACTATAAATGGTTTCCCTCCTTTCTCGGGAATAGGCTCAGTAGTAACCATGGTTTCTATAGCAATCGATCGCTACTATGTCGTTTTACATGCAGCAAATCCAAATCCAAAAGAGAAGAAAAAGGGGCTAATTCTTTCAGCAATATTTATAACAGCGCTAGCCGTTGCTTCACCAGCATTTATATTTTCAAAATATGATGACTCTCAATCAACTCCTTATTGCGATATTGTTTTTTCTACTGATTCTGCCGTTCAAATTATCGGATGGCGAATTTATATTACATTATCGAGTATTCTGATTTTATTTCTACCAGTTACGGTCGAATTAATCATATATGTCAAGATTTTACTGGTTTTACGGCAAAGATCGAAAAATATTACAACCCGATTCAATTATGCATATGTTAAAGCTCATAAGAATACCATCAAATTGATGTTGTTAATGACTATTACTTACATTTTTACCCATGCTCCACTATTTATTTGCTATCTTATATATCATTATCAAGGTATATCAACCGAAAATGTTATACTATTTTAACTCATATTTGTTATCGCACATTTTTATGTTTTTATTCTAAAAGTTTAATTAACCCTATAATTTACACTGGCTTTATTCCTAAACAAAAAGAGCGACATATTTATATATTTAGCTTTCAATTTTTAAGGCCTTGTCTGTCGAAGAATTGTAGCTTGAATTTCAAACGAAATGCTGTTGCTCCTAAAACCATCTCGACGACATAGCGGCCAAATAAATAACTGTTAAATAATGTTGCAAAATACGGTTATTACTTTTTATACCATCTCGCGCTCTTTTAACTTCCATAACAGCAGAATTATTTACTAATTACTTTATTTAATCTAGATAAATATCATTTTAGTATTTAATTTTTGTTAGAAACCGTGCCCGGGTATTTATCGTGAATCTTTGCCAGCGCGATTTCGCACGAGTTTCGTTTAACTAAAGCTTGGTTTTTGATTACCCAATGGTCAGCGCTAAGAATAACTCTTTACCAATGATATCATTCTAGAGAGTATTCTCGATACAATAACAAGGATGTTCACTGAAGAATTGGAAATGAACTATAAAAATCAAAATCAGTGAGTACTAAGGGCACATATGTTCCTTAGTACACTTAAAGAAATGGTTGTTATTTTCACTGACGTCAAGTAGAGCACTCGCTACTCATTCCATAAGTGCTGTAGTGATGCATAAGTTTTCAACAAGTGCCAAGAATTTAAAATCTAGCTTATAGTTAAACAAATTATACGCATACAAGTGCGGATACTAGTAAATATATACGCGGATACATACATAATACACCTAGTTTTGGCCATATACGTCACTTATAATGTATCCGGACATGAAATTAGCCTGCTTATCATTCCATAGTTTCCGTACTAAAGAATTATTTGTGAACAACAGTTTATCATTCTAATCAATTTTTGGATCATTCACATCCTTTTAAAGCATGGATTACAAGATTGGCCACTGTTGTTCCAGTAAAGTAGTAGAAATTTTATTATAAGAACATATTATCCTATAGTACCGTAATTAATCAGTAGAGATTACTTACATCGTGAATTTTTGCTCAGAATCTGCAATGTCCACGAGATAGATACTCTAAACCATCCTGAAGTTGATGCTCTGCAATTATTTAAGCTTCTGTAATGTCGGTTTTTGAAACTATAGATATACTTAAAGTAATCAAAATTTGCCAAGTCTTATATCTTTGGTGCACTAATTGCTAAACTCAATCAGAGGCCATATAATGCGCATACATCCAAATATTGTCATGATAAAGGGAGATCCAAACATTGTTGCAAACCAGTCTATTACTGAAATTACATTGTGATGGAGGGTTCGATATCTCGGAGGATTGAGATTTAGTTGCCATTTACAATTAGTGCACCAAAAGTTGTATAAAAGTTATACTTTATTTTAAGTAGTAAAGTAAGTACGGTGAGGTAATTACGGTAGATCAGCGTGAAAGCTGTCGTGAGTAACGTGTGAAGACTAACTAGGAAACTAACGATTTCTGAGGTGGGAAACGGCGGTATTTATAGTTTTAAAGATAGAGCACATGCAAAGAATAGGATTATAGAATTAGATACAACATATACCATAACAGGTTACAACATAGCTGATGATTGTAGCAAACAGCGAGTACTGTAATAACTAAATACAGTAGCCTATATATGAATGTGAAGCAAGCGGACTGTAGATATGTCTAAATATAAGAGCAATACAACATGTCTATATTTAAGAGTAGAATATAGTTACAGTATATTCTAAATACACTACATACATAAATACAGCTATTACTCAATTCGTGTATAAGGCAATATTATGTCTTTGTAATAAGGTCGACTATATCTTATTCTACTCTACTATTATAACTCACAACAGAATTAGGCAAACTGAATAGAGATAAAAGTCTGCTTTATCATACAGAAAATTGTGCAACACACGAATCTATCTCTAAGCTCTAATTAACTTTCTAGCTCACCAATAGTTTCCTTACATATGCTTAATTTTTACATCGATCTTAGTAAAATGTTATTCCTTGTCTTGTCAGAGGGTCTCATATCATGTTAATCTCTTAATTTATATCCCTCATGCAGACAAGATCTTATCTGTTTCATGAGATTGCTTATGTTTATAATAATTAAATTAAGATGAAGTGAGTAGATGTTATATGGTATGATATCACTTAATATTCCCAGTACACAGATATTTACATAGATACATGTAAGAAAATAGTGTTGTAACCAATTTAATAAAATAATTTTGTCCTTACAGTTATTCAATTTAGAGAGTATGTGTGTGAGTTTATGTGTCACTAATGCCGCTATGCCTCTAAATTAACCAGAAAGTAAGCAAGTTTATAATAAAATAAAATCATTTTATTGTAATCAAATATGGAAATCAATATCATAGCTGATACCATATTTATCAAGTCCTCCGTGAAATTTTGGCAGGATATCAAGCGTAACGCCTTAATTATAACAAAATAAAATGAAAAGTAAAAATCGGAAGATGCATGTCATGTTTTCTATGTCATATGCCATGATTTTTTTTAATAATGCCTGTAACATAACTGCGATGATATGCTAATTAAATCTAGAGATCTGCGATATTATCTGCTAATTACTATGTCAATCTTCTGATAAATGAGATATATTAAAAATTCAAGTGAAAGGTTCAACAAAGCTCTATAATTGGAATTATTACGACTTAAAAAACACAGAACGCTAATAACGCAATGATAATTATACGGAATGTCTATGAACAATTATACTAAAATAAAAGGAGAAACTTTACTAATAAACAGAGTGCTGAGTATCATTGTAAATTATGCATTGGGAAATTTTAGTTCATTTTATATTATCATAGAATATGACCCAGGTCTCCTTTATTGAAACAATTTAAATTAAATTAACATTAAAATAAAAGATGCAGTAGAATATTACTTAAAAGATTTTCGTTCCGAAAAATATATTTTGATCTAGAAGTTTATTAAACTCACATACCAAATAATTATACATCTATTCTTTTATTGATCAAAATTAATATCGATCAGATTGTAAGCTGCTGAAAAAGTAAAAAAACGATAATTTATTTTATTGAAAAGGAATAACTGAATTAAAATATCAGGTCGCACTTACAGCACTTACTGTAATTTAAACGAAACTAACAGTTATCCCGCAATATCTATTACCACACACGCTCAGACCTATAACCTATTAAATCGATTTACTGTATTTCTGAGACATTCGGATTAAAGTCGCATATAAGGACCCGTTCCTTTAATCTTCTAGAATCAAGATCTAAATATATATTACCCTTATTAACTATCTATTGCATTCCCAACAATAATGCACTCAATTTGCTATCAAAAAATCAATTACTGATATCCATATTTGTAATGTCGCATAAGCAACATTGCAAATAACATACCAGGTGTGCAATATCTTAAAATGAAATCACACATCCGATTCAAAGGAAAAAGGTCAGCAGCATCAATATTTATAAAATTATTAAACAATAATACAAATGATTGATTTGCTTCCGATGAAAATCGTAATTAGTTTCATAAAATTTTCTCCTGCGTGATAGCTGATGCATTATATAGGTGATCCTTAAAACAACAAAAAGAGCTATAATCTTATTAATTTTTTGTTTATGCCTTCATTAGACTGTTTTAATTACAATAAAAATGACTTCAAGATCAATAACAATATCTAAGTTACAGTAATCTTTAATTTACCTGTTATTAGACCCAATAAACATTGTTACTTACTTATAATTTCGTAATACTCATTAACTCAAAATATATTTACAGCTGAGAGAAAGAGTATAAATTAGAAAATCATTTGTTGATCAAATCAGTCTACTTCAATTTTAATCTTCAAATATATCTACTGCTGACTCAATCATTTTCCCATAGAGTCCTTTAGGCCTAAGCATTCTTGCTTACATCTATTGTGAATATACTTCAAATTTTACAGCACCCCAAGATATCAACTTGAAAACTAAGAGTGCATTGGCACTACTGATAGTGTATGTAACATCAAATTTTTAATTCTTAATCAACATGTCATCCAACCATATTAGACTCAGCAATGAAACAAACCATCAACTGGTATCGCTATTAGGACTTCGACTTATTGTCGGTATACCTTCAGTTATTATTTTTATCGGTGGTTTGATTGGAAATATATCTACTGTATTTACTATCATTCGATACAGAAGAACGACAACCAAAGATCTCATGTTCTACTTAGTTGCTAATTTAGCAATGTATGATATTCTTGTCATGTTATTTGCTTTACCAATTACAGTTATCCGAAAATTAGCTTTCACATGGCCGTTTGGAGCTTTCCTGTGTTATACTATAAATGGTTTCCCTCCTTTCTCGGGAATAGGCTCAGTAGTAACGATGATTTCTATAGTAATCGATCGCTACTATGTCGTTTTACATGCAGCAAATCCAAATCCAAAAGAGAAGCAAAAGGGACTAATTCTTTTAGCTTTATTCATAATAGCATTAGCCATTGCTTCACCAGCATTTATATTTTCAAAATATGACGATTCTCAATCAACTCCTTATTGCGACATGGTTTTTTCTACTGATCCTGCTATTCAAATTATGTGGAGACGAATTTATGTTACCTTAGTCAGTGTTTTGATTTTATTTCTACCAGTTACGTTCGAAGTAGTCTTATATGTCAAAATTTTACTGGTTTTACGACAAAGATTGAAAAGTCCTACAGCTCGATTCAATTATGCATATGTTAAAGCTCATAAGAATACCATCAAATTGATGCTGTTAATGACTATATTATACGCAACTACTCATACACCGCTGTTTACTTGCTACCTAGTCTATCGTTATGGAGGTGTAGCGCCCGAAAATGTTTTAGTATTTCAACTTGTATACATCATCGCGCATTTATGTTTCTATTGCAAAAGTGTCATTAATCCTATAATTTACACTGGCTTTATTCCAGAACATAAGCAGTGGCTACTTTGCATAATTAATTTCAAATTTATACGGCCTCGCTTGTCAAGTACAAGTATCTTAAAATTCCGGAAAAATAAATGTACTATTGCTCCAGTATCAGCCTCATGATTTAGTCATGAAATGCTCATCATGGAGCACTACGGGGCTTAACCTTATAAAATGGCTTTTATTGGATATCTTGTATCTCTCTCGATTTTATAATATTCTATTGGATTGAGAGTAATATCATTCACTAAATATTTCTGCTAAATATTATTATACCGGTGTGACTAGTAAACAATACTATGTAAGACTAGAACAATATATTCATTATCTATGATAAAATGAAACATTTTAATCAAAATTTTCATTCAACGTCACTTAAACTTTCTGCTAAGATTCGTGTTAGTATTGAATACTACAAAGTATGGTTGATACTTAGTTTGTAAAATTAATACTCTATCATTGTAAGCTTATTCTAAATAATAGATTCCATATATCTTGTATTTAGAATCTTGAATATCTCCATATAACGTAACTTTTCTTCTCAATAACAAGGCTAAGAAATTTTTTAACTGACTAGTGTTGTGTGCAATACAATTTTACTTGTACAATATCCGTTAGAATGTTAAATTTTCTAAATGGCTTGACATGATTTGTAACCCTTACCTTATACCGTAAGTATCAAAGCCATAAGTTTACACCTATATTAATACTATGATTAATCCTTCACTTCTCTAGAAATAAATTAGCACACCAATAAATGTATCAACACTTACCGTACTACTTGTTTTTTCAGCTCTAGGCAGAATAGTGCAATACTTACGAAATATAAATATTCTCAACTGCTACGATGACTTATTGAATTAGGGTATTAAATCTACCATAGTCATATCCATAGTCGGTATAAGGCAATGGATTTTTCCTCTAATATAATAACTCCTCCTTCATTTATTCAGTAAGGTATTATAGATTAAAGTTTTTGAAAGTCGTGTTAGCATATTAAAATTTGGAATAGTCTTAGAATGGCAATTCTCTAAATAATGTTTTTACGTATTACTGCACTTATCATTAATTTTTAGATGTAAAGATACAGTATCCATGGCAAAGCATTTATGTTTCAGCATTCTTATTCAATATGATTATTCAATAGTTGTAGAAGTAGGATAATTTAGTTGTACTTCTTCACTTTATCATTCCTGTCGTATGAGTTATTTGGTGAAGTCATTATCTTCTGTACTTGATGATCGTGTGTGCTTGTTACGGAGACATGCTCCGAAATATTAATTGCTAAGTTAATTAAAATATCTCATTTAAATTATTGTTTGCTCCAGTAGCTTATTAGATATCAATGTTTATTCATAAGTACTTGTTCAATATTGTTGACATGTCGGAGCTAACACGCTTAGTCTGTAAACGTTAATTAATAACACCTTAAGTGTAAGATTAATTACTTTGCAGAGCCTTGAGGCTCTAGTTGCTATACTAGGATATGTATACTGTACAGTGTAAGCCGCTATTTCAAGAATATTCGCAAGTGTACCATCGGCGAGGCTATAAAAAGCGGAGCAATAGCTTAGCTTCTCAGTTCCAGTTAGTCATTTACAGGATCTTTTGACTATCTTTTGACTATTATTGCTAAGAATATTCTTACGTTTTTCTTTAGTACATTTTACGACTAAGGTTAACGAAAATAAAGTAAAGTATTTAAACCTATTACTCAATAGTAGTTTTTTTGTGTAGCAGAGAGTTAGTTCAACTACGATAGGTCCCTAAGTTAGTTGGGAACACAAGTACTAGTGAAGATAATGTTTAAGACCCGGTTTCTTGTTACAAAGAAGTAGATTTGTAACAGTGATATACTGTGTCGTCCTGGATAGTCCTGTAAATGTTTCCTTATCTCTTTCCTCAACAGTTCTGTACATCGCTTCTCATGTTATTATGCTTGCTTGCATACTGTTCCTATTTGACTCAGTTTAATCTCTTGAATTCAGCATTATTGAGTGTCCTTATACCCGGTAGATTCTATGTATATTTTGAAACGAAATGAACCTCCCTTAGAATAAAGTACTGCCGTCGCAAGCAGTCTCTTTGTGATAAAATTCTCCAGAATATGTCTCAATATTAAATAGAGCCTAACACCTTAAACTGGTTGCAATAGATCACAGTGCCACACGTAATTGAAATACTAGGAATGTTGTCTATTTCAAGCGGTTTCTTCGAGATCAAATTCTCTCGAACACACCACAGGTTTAGAAAGATATTACTGCAATCCACGAGCTAGTAACTAGAGAGAATAAAATTGATTTACGACACTCGTTTCCTCTATATATGCGGGAAAGTTCGACTAATAAAGGTGAGATCAAACACTTATACCTTAAACTGATTGCGATGGATCACGCTAGTAAACCCAATTGAAATAGTAAAAACATTGTTCTATCCTAAGTGTTTTTTGTGATAAAAATTCTCCTTAATGGGTCAAAACATTAGATTTTACTGCAACATATGAGCTGGCTGTTTGAAAGACCATGAAATCAGTTTCGAAAGAATAAATTGACTTCAGACTTTCATGTACTCCATTTTTGAGAAAATTCAACCAATAAAGGTCAGATCTAAATGGTTATACCTTAAACTGATTGCAATAGACCACAGTAGTAGGCGTAATTAAAACACTAGAAATATAGCAGCATATTAAATTTCCATATATTAATCCAGTTATTCCGGGTCTGAGAGGATGAAAGGGGAAATTAGTAAAATTAAACATTGAAAATTGAAAGCGCGATACATGAGATACCTGCAATATCTAAATACTAGTTATATCACGTATAATTTGCTGTGTGCAGCTTCACCTTTTTTAGTGAAAGTAACCTCTTCTCATAATGCAAATTATCAAAAATAATTATAATATCACCAAATTAAAATGTTATGCTAAACTGAGTCAGCATGAAACGCTAACTTCTATTGTGAATACATTACTGGAACAGCGTAAAAGCTGGATTTAGCATTTGCTTAAGAAAAAATAGATAAGAAAATAAATCTCGTTCTTCTTAAATCTCTACTCAATATCCATGCATTTGCTTAATATGTAGCTACACTCTATGCGACAAAACAAAACACGCAAACTGGGTGCCATTACACAATAATATTCTATTGAACTCGCGAGCATATATATTTAATGATAAGAAATACAGACTAGAGTATGCTTAGCAATACATACGAAAATAGTGTGTCCAATAGCATATTTCATCTTATGTTCTGCATGTCTGCATATAGGTTAATATTCCTTGCCTAATAACGCAAATGACGACTGCCATTTATTAAAATCATTGCAACGGCAAATTTAAAATTTGTAAATACGTATTCATTACTATAATTCAGTCGATTTTTTATTTCTTACACAAAATTCATTGCACGCTTGATGATATTCAAAAGTATGTGCAAAAAGAAAATAGTTGTATTTAAATATCTTTCTCGATAATTACTGCAACATATCGTTAGTTAACTAATTCTGAGGCTAACTGTAGATAGAAATGAATATCATATCACTTACTACTATTGTAGTATCAAGAATCAATTACAAACGGTATAAAAATAAAAATTCAGTTTTACCAGCTATTGAAGTTAGGAAAGTATCATAATCTTATTTCCTTCTTGATACCAAATTACAGTTTTAGATAAAGCTTATCAAATTTACCATTTAATGAAATCAGCAAATTAATTCTTGCAAAGAAATAAGTATAATGTTTAATGTTTATTCAGCCTTACTGACCAATGCCAGTATCGATAAGAGAATATGCGTGCTCTAGAATACCGTAATGTAGTGATTTCAGCTAATTACAGTAGTTTTGTGTAGGCAATACAGTGATAGCATACAGACACTACACATAATGAGACGGTTTACCGATGTATAATTTCACCGTAATTGATATCATTCTAACCATGTTAAAGTTTTGTTTACTATACCATCCGAAAAGGGCTAACAAGGGTATTAGGAGTAAAATAGAAAAATAAAAGAAAAAGAATTTTTGAATTGAAATTGTATTCGCTTCGGAAATATTGCATTTAAAATCCTGAAAAGGCATTAATGACTATTTTAGGATATAACAATCCTTTTCTGTGTCTTGATCAGGATTATAGCGTATACTATGCAGTTTCTTCCTTGCTACATATCATATTTTGGAAATATAGTATTAATTTCAAGATAACGTTATTACAATTTTGACCTTCGACCTGAAAATTTTACTCAGAAAAAGTTTAATCAATAACTTAAAATGATCTAAAACTACCGCAACATGTTTATTTACTAGTATTAATTTCAAGATTGCTTTACTATAGTTTCGACCTTCGACCTGAAAATTTTGCTCGGAAAGTTTTCCATCAAAAACTAAAAAATGGCTTAAAACTACTGCAGCATGTTTTTTCAACAGCGCAAAAACAAAAAATATTTACGGCTTGCGTGATCAACTACTAGATCGGAAGATGTTCTGTCGGAAGTGTCTAAATTTTCGACTTTGGTAGACAGTTTCATCATGACCAATTTGACAAAGGCATAATTTGGCGTGAGCCCAATTCATACCTGAAATGCTGAGATAGGAACTGAAACTTTTTGTCTAAATCAATGATGCACATATTGCTCGTACAATAGCTATGGATATCTTTAGGCATTGCGTTACTGAATGGGAATATAATTTTTCCCAAATTGCAAAGTATTTCATTACAAAATAATCCACCTATGATAATCTTATAATTGAAATTTTCTTCATTCCAATTATCTGCATTGGGTTCATTCCATTATCTGCTTGCTTTCAACTAGCCTATTTATTTTGTCGTAGACAATAGCTATAGAGACAACAGTAATAGGCATCAGCATTTTATTAATGGCGATCGAAAATTTGTAGTCTGAATAAACGCTGCGGCATTAGTGCTTTGGAAATAGGTTATGCTCTACTACTGATAGAGGTCCAAATTATGCAGATGTAATCATGATAGCCAATAGATTTTCCCTACCTTATTGATATTGACATCGAACTACTTCATGTCTCAATATTAATAAAATTCTTTAGACCGCGTCATGCTACCACTGATAGTGTCTTTTGATCTATCTCAGTAGCCTCAAACTCTCTTTAGCA